GGGTGATTTTGCGAGAGCGACCGCGCCGCACCTCGGATCCGTGAATTTTTATTGATAACTTTTTAAAGCACCAGTGGTACAAAAACATCTCAGTAACAGTCAATGCGTAGAAGGTAATAGAGTATATAGTGACGAAGTTCCGATTAAAGAACATGTAATGGTAATGAAAAAGGAAATTTTAGTCATTTTATCTGTAGTGGATGCCAAAAGCTCTTTTGATGTGGTTATACCAAGTGAAACATGTATTTTTCTGTCTCTTTAGATTTGCATTTACTTTCACTACCCTTTTTTATTGACGTGTTCATGAGAATAGCATGAAAACTATTAATGAACCAAGCCGCCGGTTTCGGTGAGCTTGGAAAACTTCTTCTAAACTGGAGCATATTTGAACAAACAATGACCTATGTCGTTCACAATAATGTTATGTTCTAATCCATAGAAGAGAGACAAACAATTCGGGAAAAAGCTGCGCATGCCCTAGAAAAAGGGATGATAAGGGTGAGACGCGGTAACGCGTCTCAATGTCCAACGAGGTGCGCAAAGTGAGACGCGTTACCGCGTCTCAATGTCGTCAATGTGTTAAAAAGATGCCATCATCTTCGAATAATGCTAACGGGCGAGCCACTGGCGAGTGTTTGTTTTACAGAATGCTAGGTTATAACAAAACTTTCGCCGAAGGAATTTGAACCAGCATCACCCTCTTACCGGGCAAGTGTGTTACCAGCTGCGCTACCGTAGCATCGTTTGACTCCAACTCAGCATCTCATAGTGCTTTTAAACGAGCGCGATACTGAAAGCTTTAGTAATTAGTTTTGACTTGATGTCTTTTCTGAAACGTGATCAGAAATTCGACGCCAGTTCCATCCCTAGCAATGAGACAATGAAGGTGAGTTCTCAGCCACCTCCTTACATTTTCGAGGTTGGTCAAAATTTCTAAATTGTCTGGGAATTATTTAAAAAGGCAGTCTCACTTCAGGATCAAGAATTTAATACTTATCCGGAGCGTGTGGGTGTTGGAGGTGACGTGTGCACTCACGAACAAGCATTGCTTGATTTTGTTGGAACTGCTCGAAGATTCTTTGCACAAGTAACTATTTGCATGCACTCTTGAACAAACGATGTTAGGAGTCCTTCTAGCCATGTCACTGAAAAAGGCAAAATAGCAAGTTCTCCAATGTTTCGATCCCGCCACCTCCTTATACCACTGCCGCAACGCTCTTCAGCTTCATGATCTTGTTCAGAGAAGGGTTCAACAGATGGGGGAGCGTTTGAGCTCAGCTTCTCAAGATGCACGTAAAACTGCTCAACTCTTAGCTGACCCGGATGCAGTGGCTTTCGTGATAGGTGAAGTGGCTACATCAGATAATCGCAGTCCTCCACAACAACAACCTGCACGACACTAACCACATGCCTATATACCACATGCTCCAAATTCAAGAAAAATTGGACATGGAATCCTCATAAAATATGATGCCGATCTGGTACCGGTCGCTATCATCGGAAGTACGAGACACAGTTTTCTTAAGTATCCGCTATTTTTTTCCGAACGCAACGGTAAAAATGCTACCGTTCGAATCTAGCAACACTACATGGTCGTCATGGCGCTTGTGCACAAGACGGCGGTTTGAATTCCAACAGAACATCTGCGCATGCTTCTGCCCTTGCTCAATGAATTAATTATAACACAAAAAGAGTAACTCTCCCCCATCACAGTATATTCCTCAACTATTGGAGAGTTTATCTATACAACTCTTACTGTTGAGACATTTTGCATTTCCTGATTCATGAATAACATCGGTACATAGTTGCTTCTACACACAACATTTTTCTTCTTTCTCATGTTAGTCTCGCGCAGTTGCAGGATCCGCTGCCTTTCGCCGCAACTTTCTCTGTCCAGGGCATCTTCTCCGTGGCCGTGACCTCACCTAGGTCCTTCTTGATCACGTCTTCCACCTCTTCTTTGGGCTCCTCGCGGTCGCTTGCCTTGTACTTCGAAGTCCATCGCTGTTCTTATCGGATGGTCCTGTGGCCTCCTTAGCACATGCCCATACCATCGCAGACGCTGTTCCCGTACCTTCAGCTGGACAGGGGCAGTCTGCATGACCGCTCTGACATCCTCGTTTCTAACCTGTCTGTCCAGCCGCAGGCCCACCTCAGCATCCTCATCTCAGCGGAGTAAAGCTGCTTTCCGTGATTCTTGTTCTTGAGCACCTTGGACAGCATAAGCTATGCAGTCCAAGGTGCTCGAGAACAAGAATTCAGTGGACTCCCTCTGTTTCTTCGATGCAGTTTTGATCCGAGCTTTCACTGGGTGATTTGCTTTATTGTCAGCAGCCAGATCACTTCGATATCGGAAGTTCTCTAGCCTTATGCCTTCCGCCTCTCAGTCTGGTCTTCTTCACCTTCAGCGCAGCCCTCCTGCCGCCACTTTACGCCATCGCGCCTAGTCATAGAGTTCTTCTCTCTACTGGCACAGCGGTGTCGTCAGCGTAGAGGATAGTCTTCAGTGGTCCCTCCATGAGCCCCTTCACCAGGACATCTAGTGTTAGGAGGAAGAGGAAGGGGCTCAGAGCTGATCCTTGGTGCACCACCGTGACGTCATCCTTGTTAGGCCGCCGGGTGCGTATGGCTGCTTTGGCCTCCTTCGTACGTCACCAGAGAGATCAGGTGTTCTGGCACGTTCCGTTCCCTGAGCGATCTCCATAGTACTGCTCGCGGTAGCCGGTCGAACGCCTTCTCCAGGTCGAGGAAGGCTAGGTAGCAGGGTCGGCGCTTTTCTCGATACTTCTCCATCACTTGCCTTGCGATGAAGATGGCATCCGTTGTAGACCTTTCGGGCATGAACCCGAACTGTCCTGGGAGATCGGGACCAGCTCCCGCAGCTTCGATCGACCAGTCGCTCGTACAGCTTCATGGTATGCGCAGTCAACTTGATCCCGCGGTAGTTGGAGCAGTCCATCACCCTTCTGCTTGAAGATGGGGACGATAGTACTTGTTCTCCAGGCATCCGGCATCCTTTCCTTCCACAGTCACGCTCTACAGGAGGCTAGTAAGCCACCCCATGCCTCGATTAGCACTGGACCAACTGCCTTCCCAACCTTCATTCTTCCTTCTTTTTACGCGAGCCTCATCTTTTCTCCAGAATGAGACAAGGCCAGCCGTTGCCTCTGCTTGTAGGGAGCCCTTGTGGGGAATTCTTCTCTCAAATTCCTTCGTAGTATTCTTCCCTCCTTCGTTTAACTTCGACTGGCTCCCTGACACTGCCTTCTAGATGAATATGGTCTGACAACGAACTACCCTTTTCCAAGAGCCCATGGTGGCCTTTTCGTTGCATGAGCGATGCGCCAGCGGTTCGAATGATGCACCAGTCATTCAAAAGTGTAGGAAAGTGGCGACAGTGTCCCTAATTAGCGAGCT